GTTCCTGAGAGACACTGCAGACCGGAAGTGCAGGAGGCCTTGCTCGTAGCTAGGCTCACGGATACAGGTAGGTTACGCGATCCTTGCAGGCACAGGCACTAAGGCAGCACGCAATTGCCACCCTGACCCATCTCCCAACAATCCAAGGCCAGCTTTGTGTAGGTTAAAAAGGCAATGGCTTACTTTGAACACCTGCACTGGGGAGAATCTGGCTTGTGTTCCCACTAAGGGGACCCCGATGTCATAACAAGAGAGAAAGAGCAAGGCCAGCAGATGTCTTGAGTGTGTGTGTTGAAGAAGCCTTACAGCCAGAACTCCTAGCTACATCTCTGCTTTTCTTTGTTTTTGCATGCCATGTAGACAGGCGTGGAAAAGGAAGAAGAATTTTTGGCTTTGTATAGTTCCCTTGTCTCATGTGGCTACAGTTTTAAGAATTTAACATTCTATTCATGGCCCACATTCAACTCTCATTCTTCTTAATATGCGTTCTGTAAATATTCAAGTCTGTACTACAGGTGTGCCCCACTTTAAGAAAACAACGGATGCCTGGTGTGTACAAAGTAATTCATTAAAGCCTTATGTTTTCAGAAATGAAAAATCGCCATATGATTTTTAAGCAGCAACTGTTCAGTGCACTTAAAATTCAAGTTTAAAATCAAAAGAAGCAACTGAGGAAAACATCTATCATCTAAAACAAGACATGTATACCGCTGTTCCACTTGGTTCTGGGTAGCCTCTTACTGGAGAACCAGGGCTTCATTCACAATCATTAAAGAGACAGGAGCATTTAGAGGTCCCTGAAGAGCCAAGATGATGATAAAAATACTTAATTTCATTTGTTTAAATAATAAAACCCACATTCTTTCACATAATAAGCTACCCAAAAGAAATACAAGCTCCCAGCAATGTATGTTTTAAAATGAAGTTTCACAGGACGAGTTTGGGGAACTGAGCAAAGAGAAGAATGAGGAGGGCAGTAGACATGAAGGACACAGACTGAGTCCCAGCTGCTGATCAGAAGATGGAACAAGAGGACAAGGGGATGAAGGTGCCCGAGGGGAAGGTGCCCAGGCAGACTGAAACGTTCCAATGAGCAATGATGAGGAGAGTCTGTGAAATCACCCCTGGACGAAGGGGCTTCTCTCTCTTCCTTCCTGTTTTTGTGGTTTGGTTTTGCAACATCAAAGCCCCTTGCTCATCCTTTCTTCCACCACTGCTGCCACTGTTAGTGCCTCTGCTGAGCTGCTCTCTAGACGTGGAGCGCCATCTCCTGCCTACTCCCATCACATTCCCTGTGCAAACCCCATCTGTTCTTTAGGCCTGGTTCATGCAGTCCTTCCACAAAGCCTTCCTTGAGTTGTTGCAGCCCTCAAGCTGGAATTAACCTCCCCCTCCTCCCATTTCCCACTGCATGGTTGTTCTTTCCCCTACAGCCTTAACAGTTTGGATCTTCCATTGTAATTCTCAGAGCCTTTGTCTCCTCTCTCCTGGGAGAAAAAGGACAGGTTGGGGCTTCATATCCTCACGGAGTCCAGCATATGAGATAAGAAATACATTCTGCTCAAAGTGCAATTAGAGTCCTGAACTTGCCCTTGCAAATAAGCATGGCAACTTTCTGTACCATCTCAAATAGCAATTTGGGTTTGTTTAAGGGCAGAGCATATTGTTGCAGTGATACGAATTTGAATTAGGGTCATGTTCATTTGATTCAGTAGTGTACTCACCTGTGAAAACCTTTTAACTACCTTAGCAGCAACATCGACACCAGTTGCTTTTCAATACAGTGACATTTATCTCCACATATAGTAAAAGGATGCTCGTTAATATCAAGGAGTTAGAGGAGGGGATTTAAGTATGTCGGCATACCACTTATTTCCTGTTAATCAAACCTGTGGCCACTGTGAGGCTCACCAACACTTGCATGTGATTGAATTATGACAACACCAGAGAATGCTATAGCCTGCCACTTATTTTTGCCCCCTCTTTTCAACTCAGGTCCAATGAACCCAGAGGAAAAGGTCTAGATTTAAAAAAAAATTCAAGGAAACACAACACTGGCTTTTAAAGCATTTAATAAGAAGTCATAATGAAACAAAAGTGAATTTCTTTATTTTAGAAAGAATAAATTTACATACGGTACATAAGCAAGACAGCTGAAGGTTTCCAAAATAGAAACCTGAAGCATATGGCCCTGAAACACCACATGCTTTGATTACCCTGGGGAAGCACGAGTCTCCTATTTGGGCGAGAAAATCCCATGTTACGGTGAGACCACTGGGCATGTTGTGGAGTGCTTTCAGCCACCAATTAAGGGTTTTTAGTTCAGGGGTCTCTTCTATGCTTTTTTCTTCTGTGTATTCTGTTATGGTGGAGGTCCGAGCAGAACTGGCTTGAAATGATAGCTGTTTAGAACGAAAGCTACAGGATGGATACCTTGGCCCATGGTGGTTGTGGGTTGGGGACAAAATGGGGACAATTAGGAAAAGGGCATCTCATGCTACCTGGTTCTTGGAGGGGCCAATAATCATTAGGGCTTTGGTGTCATGGCCCTCAAAAGCAAGGTTCTCCAGACCACCGGTCCAGGATACATGGTGGTGACTTGGCTTTTACGTAGGTCATCTCCAAGACTCCAGATCAAGGGAAGGGCTTTGACCCAAACTGAGGCCAAACCAGAGAGAGAATCGAAGTGTCATGATGGGAGATGGAAAGCATACCCTTTGAAGGGTCACGAGTGCTGTGTGTGTGTGAGAGAGAATGTAATAAATAGAGCGAGGTGCAGTGGGAGAAGTGGATGGAAGACTGCTGGCAAAGCAAGAGTCTGAACCGGGTAATGACTTTTTCAATCAGTTTCTGCCTGATTCTAGGCCACAGAGCAGGAGTGCTCAACAACTCAGCTTGACCTCACCAATACACACTTTTTATTCTCCAGTTGCTGTAATCAGACACTTTAAAAAGTGATCAACCATGACAAATCCCTGGGTCATTCTTTAATTTGCTGTGGCTAATATATTCATCCTCAATCCAAAATGTGTAACTATCACCTTAAATACAGCTGATAGGCCTTCCTAATGTTGGGACTTAAAAGAAGGGCAGCAGGAAAAATTTATATAGGTGTGCATATAAATCGCCAGTACCCACTGCTGTGACAATAATTACAGCCTCTGTTTTCAAAAGATAGAAGTGGGAAAAGCTGATCTTTTGGTTGGTTTTTGTTGCTTCGGACAAATCAACTAAAATAGTTATCTGGTGTTGTGATCTCCAGTTTGGCAGATGGGAGGACAGAAGTACAGGAAAGTCCCTCATGAAACCAACAGCCACCGCATTGAAGGGGCAGACCAAGGCTGGGAGTGCCCATAGCTAGTGCTCCTCCCCACCCTCCCCTCCCCCCAGTTCATGGTGCTGCAAATACTGGTCAGAGTTTGATATAAAAGCAGCCAAATGGCAGGTCATTTTGGCCTCTGCCTTCTAACTGTGATAAATGTGAGAAGAACTTTAAGTAAAAACGATGTTTTGCTAAAATTATTCTTCTCGAGAAATTGGAGCACTAACTCAAATACCAAAGATCATCGCAACAATAAAGCCATGGAACGTATTTGACATCAGGAAATATGTGACTTTCAGTTTTAACACTGGATGCAGAGGTAAGACCTCCGTAACTTTTCAGAAGGCTAATTTTTCCCAAAGTGTGTGCATGGCAATGATGAATTAGGATCATACAACATTGGCTTCAGTGGTCCAGGCACCATGCCTCGATAGATACTTTGCTAACTATATATTTACAGTAACTTTTAAGAAAGTTGTTGATCCTGTTCCTTATTCTTAAGAACTGAAGAGGTGTCCTGGGAGGGAACTATCTGGTGTCGACATAATGATCACTTCCCTAAGTTCTAAGGAGAGCTTAGGTTTAATAGGTGTTGCATTTGTTTAGCTTGTTTTTCCAAGAGATGGCTAAGGTTGTTCTTACATTAATCACCCATAAAATTGCCAAGAGACAAGAGGTGGGAAGCTGGAAAGGGAGCCTGATTCTACTTAGTAGATGAGAAAATCGATTTACAGAAAATACCTGAGAAATGGAGGAGTAACGTCAGGGAGGCCTTGTCAGGATCAGGCAATGTCTGTCGCTTCTTGTCAGGCCCCAGAAGGGATTAAGTTCATCCGTTCTTCTACTGATCCACTTTTGTAGGCAGAAGCCAGTGCCTTCCAAGTTCATATGGAACCAAAAAGAGCTGCAGATGGGCAGAGGGCTTGGCCCAAGCCACTCTGAAGCAGGAGAGAGCAGGAGTCTCAGTGAATCCCAGGTGCATCCATTTGTGATAAAGGCTAAGCCCCCATTTACCAGATGAAGTGGGAGCAGCCAGTTTGTTTCACAGGTCAGAAAAGTGTAGTAATGTCACCCGGAGTCCTGCAACATGCATAGACAAGGAAGAGCAGATTTCTGTTTCCACAGGAACACCTGAAGGACACAGGCCCATGAGGAAAACAGGCCCTTCCCCGTGCCCTCACAGCACTGTGGCAGCCTTTAGTCTCTTCACAGTGAGCTTTATTTCAGAGTGCTCTTACCACCCAAGCGGGCACAGTCTAAATATTTAATTGTAACAACAAGGAAGTCACCCTGTCCAAGGAGTGCAGTTTTATACGGTGCCACCCTTTCTCCCAGACTTTTGAAATGAGGCTCAGTGCAGGGCAAGGTCATAACTGAAAAGAAATCCTCTACCTCCAGCCTTCCAAATTACCCCATCTCTGTTGGCCCTCCAGAACCCAGTCGTGCTTACAGGCATTCCTAAGCCAGCCCACAATTTCTGCCAGCCCATGACTAGGTCCAAAGTCCATGTGACAGGGGTGAGGAGTGTCCTTACAGAACTTGATTGTGGCTTTTAGCCTGGGTTCAACTGTAGCATATCCCTTACAGACTAATGGTCCCTATGAGACCTTTTTTCCTTCTGCACAGCAGCATCATTTACATGATATCAGCAAAACAGACGTATGACTTAGACTTTTTTTTTTTTTTTTTTTTAAGAAAAACAAGTTGTCGAGACTTGCCCACCCAACAACTTTCCTATGTCTTGGCTTTCATGTCCAGTGGGCTAGTTTCCAAGTGTTTGAGGCTCAGGGTAATCCCAAAAACCTGTGCAGCATCGGCACAAAGGTGGTAGCACAGATGCCGACAGACGTGTAGGTGACAAACTTGTAAGGCACTTCAATCTCCAGTCTCCGCCTGGCCTCCTTGTTCCTGGTGACCACCTTGAACCACGAGTACAATACTTGCAGTGAGAGATTTTGTACAAGCTGACGAACCAAGAGGATCAACACAATTCCCACCGCAAATTTGGTCAGACCCAAAATGAACATGGTGGCGAGCGGTGGGATGTCCTGAATGACAGGGAGAGAATCAGCAGGCTTGGACACCAGCTGGAAGAAGTGGTTGATCCAGCATCCTATGGTCACTCCAGCGCCGGCAGCCACTATGGTGGTGGTGTCTGCTCGGGTTGGGCTGTAGTAATCAGGCACGGGGTAATTATAACATAAGAAGAATGGCACAACTATGACACACACGGGGATGAGGGGGCTGGCCGAGTCCAGGCAGTCGATGAGGGTCCAGGCAGGGTAGGTGAGGACAATGAGGACTGCAGTGATCAGGACGCCACCCAGCACATCCTTTGAGAAGGAGAGAAAAGAACAGTGTGAGCCAATGAGCGCCTCCTGCTAGAAAGGTGTGATTTCGAGTCAAATACGGATGATTTGACACTTAAAATACAATTCTTGCATTGTTTTATTTTACAGTACATGTTCAAAGAAAGTGTAAAGTTGTAAAAATTGGAAATGAAAAAAGGAAAAAATGCACACAATCATGCTATTCGTGTTACATATTTTCTTCCAGTTTTTCTGTATTTGGGGTAAATTGTATATTGGTTTTCTTAATGAATAGCTATCGTCTCATTGTTTCTCCAATCTTATCTTATTATATAAAAACTATAAGCATTTCAATACTGAGATCACAAGTATTGTCTGTCTTCGCAGAGGTGGTGACATCCTTTCATGGCAGGCAGGGGTTGGGGCTGTAGGCTGGGAAATTGGCTTCCTGGAGTAGCCACAGTCCCACGGCAAGCACACCACTGTTACTAGAGGATATGCTTATTGTGGGTGGTTTGAGAAGACATTTTGGATGTGGTGGCACCAAAGCTTCACCATGCCAGTCTGGACACTACCACTCTGTCTTCAGAGACAGGATTTCAGACAGTGTGCATGCAATTTCATTGAACGGCGGGACCATGCTTTACTAATCAATCCCATTCTTTATTTTTATTGTTTATTTTTTTATTTTTGTGACCAGTAAGGGGATCTCAACCCTTGGCTTGGTGTCGCCTGCACCGCGCTCAGCCAGTGAGCGCCCTGGCCATCCCTATATAGGATCTGAACCCGCAGCCTTGGCGCTCCCAGCGCTGCTGCGCTCCCAGCGCCGCACTCTCCCGAATGAGCCACGGGGTCGGCCCTCAATCCCATTCTTTAGAACATTATAGATTGGGGTTTTCTTTCTTTCTTCCCTTTCCCTCTTCCCTTCCTTCCCTGCTTAAAATATCTTTAACTCCTTGATGTCGCACATTTTCTTGTTCCCCTAGACGTTTCATTGTGAAATTGATTAGAAGGTGAAGTCAATGTAATTAATAGATCCACAGTCCCAGCACCTAGAGTTAAGCACTATATATACTTTGGCATGTTTCCTTCCATTCTTTTTTTCTGTGTCCATAATGGAATTCTAAGGCTTGGTCTTTCTTTTTCTAATAACTTCATTTATTATTTATTTCTCTTGCTTAGTGTCTAATAAAATGGCATCTCATTTGGGTAAATGATGGGTGAAAATTAGATCTCAGAAATAATCACTGAGGCCACGGCAGTTTCACAAATTAGTGGGCATCCACCCATTCTTCCAATGACCAGGTATGAGTGCCTGCTGTGTGCCAGACATGGTGCTAGAAGGCCCAGTGTGAACTAAACAAATACAGTGCCCACCTACTTGAAGTTTACAGTCTAGTGGAGAGACAATTATTGTTATTTAAGAGGGAAAGAGGCCAGCCTGTGGATCTTGATGGTTCCTTGGGGCTGGAAAGGAGAGTAAACCTAGGCAGGAGCCGCTTCCTACAGGGCCCACTTCACAAGGGCTGTGTTCTGGAGCAGTGTGAAGCCCCTGAAGTAGCTCTCATTGGATAACATCGTGACCAGATCTTTACTCGTAAGAGACTGTTCTCTTGACCACAGAAAGGAGAATGGATGGGAGGGGAGAGAGTGAATGGGGGAGACTGCCTCCTCCTCAGAGGAAGCCTTGTGCCACCTCACATCCTCCATGTGACACAAAGGGCTTCTCCAGCTCCTGCTTCTGCCACCATTCTTCTCAGTTGTCCTCTTGGGCTCCACAGTCTCCATGGTCTCTCTCCCCATGATTCCTTGTCTTGCATGTATGAATATGCACTGATGTTGCCTTAATTTTGTAAAAAGGAAATATCCTTCACTTAAGCTTCCTAGTGACCAAAGTTCAGCCAAACTCTGATTACATTTTCTACACATGTTGCCTCCAGTTTCCCAACTTGACACACAGCTGCTGTCAAACTCTTAGACTTAGATCATACGTTACTCTCAAAGGCCACTGACGAGATGTTTGTTGGTTGTTGTTTCAGCATCTATGTCTTCCACCCAAGAGCTCCGTATTTCCTCTTGGGGATCCAGAAGGTTCTGGGAAATTCTGAAGTTGAAGCATGTGACCGAGGAAGGCTAATCAGTGTACTGTATCCTCTGGTCACAGTGAAAAGTGCAGGGGTCGGGGAGAGGTCAAGTGACCTAGCCAGTCCAAACAGAATGAATGGTAGGGCTTTTATCCGAAATTCTTGGGAGAGAGAGATGTTCTTGCTTCCTCTGAACACTGTGTCCTGTGGATTTCAAACCTTTACTTGGCAGACCTTTAATATTCAGCTTTTATTAATGTTACCCTGCACTATCCTGATTCTTCTCTGACCTCTAAGAAAACTCTTTCTTGGCATCCTCCTTCAGATCTGTCTTTCAATAACTTAAACATGGGCATTTCCATAGATTGTCTTCAAGCTTTGTGTGTTTTCTCTCTTGAAGAGCTTATGTAGGCCCATCTCTCCATTCTCTCTCAGTATAACTCTCAAACTTATGTCTTTGGGTGTGTCTCTCAAACTCTAGTCCTATATTTTTTAATTGAATGCTAAATATTTCCATCCAGATGTCTTGTCAGTCCCCCAAACCAACTTGTCTAAAATAACAATCACCAACAACCAAAAGAAATACAGGTAAAGGAAATGAGCAGTTTATGGAAAAGGAAATGTAAATGTCTTTTAAATAATGAAAATGTCCCTAAACTTACTCATAATAAGATATGAAAATTAAACTATACTGAGGAGAAATTAAAAGTTATGTTCCCACAAAAATCATGAGACACATGTTTACAGGAGTTCTATTAATAATCACCCCAAACTGGAAACAACCCCAATGTCATTCAGTGGCTGAATGGGTCAAAAAACTGTGGTGCATTCATACCTTGGAATGCTTCTCAGCAATACAAGGCAACAAACTACTGCAACAGCTTAGAGAAATCTCCAAGAAATCATGCTGAACGGAAAAAGCCAAGCCCCAAAACTGTACGGTTCTGTTTATATGACATTCTCTAAAAGATATCTAAAAGAAAGTGATAAATGAATGATCTGTGGTTGCCGAGGCAGTCCGGGGTGAGGGGAGGGTATGCCTGTGAAGGAATGAGTGAAGGAGTTTGGGGGATGACCTGTTATGTACCGTGCTGGTGGTTACTCAAATCTACACACATGTTAAAATTCATAGAACTTTACACCAAAAATAAAGCCAATTTTATTGTTAATTTGAAAAAATAAGAGACAGGTAGTTAGCTCAGTTGGTTAGAGTGCAGTGTTATAACACCAAGGTCAAGGATTCAGATCCCTGAACCGGCCAGCTGCCAAAAAAAAATACATAAATAAAAATAAAAATACATTTCAAACAAAGAAAGATTTAAAAGCTGGTGGGCCCTTTTGTTGCCATGGAATGACATTACTGGGTGCCTGCTGCCCTAGGCTGTGGACACTGGCGAGGTTCCCAACATGCCTGCTCCCTACCTCCACCTTCCCACGCAAACTGTGCTGACTATCTGCTCCTCACCTATCCCTGTTGACAAATAGCTGGAAGTTTAACATTTACAGTTAATGAAACTGTAGGGGGCAGGGGACTCTTGTTCATTAATTGTATAAACACAAAATGGTGCAACCTATATGGGGAGGAACTTGTTGTCAACGGCTTTAAAAATTACACATTTTGGGCCGGCCCGGTGGCGCACTGCTACAGTGCGCCGCTTGGGAGCGCGGCGGTGCTCCCACCGAGGGTTCGGATCCCACATACAGACCAGTTCCCGCTCACTGGCTGAGCGAGGTGTGGGTGTGACACCAAGGGTTGCGATCCCGTTGCCGGTCCCGGTCCGGTACGGGCGCGACACTGAGGGTTGCGATCCGTTGCCGGACACGAAAAAAGACAAAAAGGAAAAAAAAAAATTACACATTTATTTACCTTCTGACCCAGCAATCTCACTCTGAGACTTGACCCTACAAATATGTGTCCATGTCTAAAATGAGGTATTTACAAGTTATCCATTGTAGTACTGTTTGTACTAGCAAAATCCTGAAAATAACCTTGAATCCATCTGTAGAAACCCAGGTACATTTAACTATGCAAGGTGTAGTCACACAATGGAATACCACGCAGCTGTAAAAAGAATGAAGAGCTCTGATATGGAATTTTAAAAATCAAGATGCAGAAAAGTGTGTATCATATGTTACCATTTACATTTTTTAAAAAGTTGGGAGAATACAGATATGTTTTTACTTGAATACACAAAGAAGGGCATTTGGATGGCTGGAGAACACAGACAGAAAGGAGACTTTTCACAAGATACCCTGTGTACCTTTAGAATTTTGTACCATGTGAATGTACTGCCTCCTTTATAAAAAAGTAAAATAAAATTCAGTTTTTCCTCTTCTAAACAGAATCTACCTTTCAACTCCCATATGAGTGTGGGTCTCAGGAGCCCAGCTCTGTCCTTTGCATGGGATGGTCTGATAAAACATCTCCTGCTGAGGACTGATGGCATTCTCTTTGGGTGTTTTCAAAGAAACACAAATTTTGAGGGGAGGAGGAGAGCCGGGCACAATGAGCTGGACGTGGCCAATGTGAGGACACAATCCTGTCCTCACTCCGCTGGAGACAAGATTTTGCCACTCAGATTGTCTCCCGGGCAGCTGCACTGCACTCAGGTCTGAGCCCTAAGGAAATCAGGGAGGATGAAAGAGTCATTTTGCTTAAATCTATGAAACACAGCACTAACGAATGCTGCTTTGAGACCCCTCTTGTAGTCACTTTCAAAGGGAAAATCCCATTCTTCTTTGTACCTGTCAGTCAGGTGGCCCAGGTGGGTATTTGGGTGGCTCTGGGTATTATGGAACCACCTGGCAGAACAAAGGCAGAACATCTTTCATTCAATGTCCTTGGATCAGGGACAGTCACGGGCACAGAACTGCTCGTCTGGTGGGGCTGCCAAAGAGATGGTGGTGATGCCTGGCAGGGGCTGCAGTACACAGAGCAACAGCAGCACCTCCTAGATCACCTGGCAGGTCAGCTATTGGTCAGGTATCTGGTCACTGCTGGGCCTGGAGGACAGTGGGCCAGACCAAGGTGCACAAGGTCACAGCAAAACTGTCCTGACACCATGGTGTCAGAGCAATCACAGTGTTGGTGGCTCAGACTGCTTCATGAGCACATTGCGAGATTCACTTTAAAAACCCCAGAAATATTTCATGTGGGAATTTCTGTCCGGGGTGGTGGTAAAGCAGAGTTTTACAGAGGGCTAGAGGTTCAGAAAAATTCATTAGAGGGCCGGCCCGGTGGCGCACTGGAGAGTGCGCCGCTTGGGAGCGCAGCGGCGCTCCCGCTGAGGGTTCGGATCCCATGTGGAGACTGGTTCCCGCTCACTGGCTGAGCGCGGTGCGGGCGCAACACTGAGGGTTGCGATCCTGTTCCCGGTCCCCAGTACAGGCGCAACACCGAGGGTTGCGATCCCATTACCGGTCAGTAAAAAAGACAAAAAGGAAAAAAAAAAAAAAAAAGAAAAATTCATTAGACATACTTCTGGTGACAGCACCCCAGACTCCCTGGTCACAAGCTCAGAGTCCCCATGGGGATATCTGATTGCTCCTTCCTCTCGCCCCTGCAGCCACCAGCCACTGTGTTCCCTAGACTCCTCCCTCCATCTGCCATCACCTCTGAATGCCCACTTTACCACCAGAGTCCAGATCTTCATTTCAACCAATGCCTGTCATTCTCCTGTCCCAAAGCATTCACTGACCACTTTCCCAATAGCTGTTTCAAAAGCAAGTGCTCTCACATTCTAGCGTGCACTGAAATCACCTAAAAGGGGAGGGTTAAAATGCAGACTCAGGTCACTGCTCTCAGATTCTGATCCACAGTGTGGCCAGGAGTCTGAGTTTTAACACCCAAAGGAATTCTGATGCACCAAGTCTAAATAGGAAACTCTTGAGAAACACTAGCCTAGAGGTTGATAATCACATTCCTCCATGACATGGGTTTGATTAACCTATCATTCTAGGATTTTCTCTCACTACTTTCCCATCTGAACTTTCCACTCTACTCAAATTGATCTAGTTGCTTTTCCCAAACATGCCTAATACAATTCTGTCATCATAATTTTCATTCTTTTTACGTACGGTGCACTTTAACCATCTCTGCCTATCAAGATCTTATCAGTGCCTCTAAGGCTTAGCTAAAAAGCTTCTTCCTTTCCAAAATATATTCACCAATCACCACAGTTGGAAACAGCCTCTCTCCCTCTCCCTGAACTGAATGTGAAGGCTCTTGCTTAATGTCACGCAGGAAGCCTGTCCCTTACACTGCCTTTTGCTGCAACTGTGTGTTTACGTGCTTTTCCTCTGAGCTGGCTATGGGTCTGATCAGCAAGGTGGGGCCTCTTACATCTTTGCGTTATTCCTCAAAACTCCTAGCATAACACTGTAATCAGTTACAGTGATTGGGAGAACATAATGCCTTCCTCTCATCCTGAATATCTAAAATATTTAGTACCCATTGCTTCAATATATAAATAAAAATCTGCCCTACTTCCTTCTCGCTTCCTTTGTAACTATGGTTACCAAATTCCCAGACATCTGGTTGGAATATTCTTTATAAATAAATTCTGTTCGTCTTCGGTGCATTAGGAGACTAGACTATTTTGGTCCACGGCCCCAGCACTTGAGGTTAAGGTAATTTTAGTCAATGTGGCTGCTGGTGTAGATTTTCCTTCTAACCACACAGTTGGATTTTCAGCCATAAAAAGTGATATTGTAATAAAGATATTTAAGTATTTTTGTAAGGAAAATACTTGAACCATAGCTAATGAGCTTTCTATTTTGCAGCTCTAAATTTCTTATAATAAAGACATTCTAAACAGCTTCTAAAAATAAGAACTGTAAATGTATGAAAATTTGAGGACTTTTTACATTAGTTTTTTTAAGCTACTAAGTTCCCAGTATCTATAAAAGCTCACAAAACATCTCTAAATGGAATCTGCTCTTTTGATTTTTTGTGCAAATTAAAAATCAGGACGTGATTTCTTTGGAACTGCAATGTGTTTGGCACAGTACATGGGCCAAGAGGGAAAGCAGTTCACAGTTGCACAGAGTGGTGAAGGCAAGCTGTAGGGCAGGTGACAGTGTCATAGAGAACAGAGGCGGAGGTGGAGAGAGACTAGCCGGCCTTGGGATAATTCCTATCTGAACAGGTGGATTTGGGGGTGGGGAGCGGAGAGGGGGAGATGAAAATATATTAAAGATAGGTAAAAGACAGTGGTGCAAAAGGCATGATAAGAAAAAGACACAAGGTAGAATATTATTTACTTTGCAAAAAACATTTAAAATTCCTTTCCATTGAAGGATAGAATTAGGCTACAAGTACATAAAATATACACAATATTCAAACACCTACACCCAGGAATTCTACACCTTGGAGAAAATAATCAGAGAAGATAATAAAGCTGCTCATGAAAGTTAACATATAGGGATGATTTTTGTTGGGTTATTTTGGCTCACACCAATTAAGTCCAAAAAGTAACACATGCTCATTACAGAAAAATCAGAAAACACAACAAGCAAAATAGCAAAAAGAATGGCACATACATCACAATAAGAATTGGGCATATCATATTGCTTACACCAAAAATGAGATAAGTATACATACTACTTTCTTATTTAATGATATAGCAGGAGCATTTTCCATTTGAAAAGGTATGTTTCTGCAACCACATTTTCTTATGGTTTCAGAGTAATCATAAGCAAGATATATTAAGCAGGATACAAACTTTACATAAAAGATGATCCTAATTTTTTATAAATATATACTAGTATGCATGGATAAAATATCAAAGGAAAATAAACAAAAATGTTAAGAGTAGTTTTTTCTTTATTGCTATATGACAGATGACTATTATCTTCCCTATGCTTTGCAGTGTTTTCCATTTTCTACAGTCAATGCCTGTTATTTTTATTATAATCAAAATGTAATCAAGGAGAAAAAAATCAGGATGTTAAAATCAGAATGTTTCTAATACATCAGCACAAAACCCGCGCCATCTTAGAAAAGCCCAAGTGCAAAATGGCACTGTCCACCTCCTCACCTCCCCTCCCCTGTTCTCTCTTACAAGAAGCCTCATGGTTTCAGAGAAAATGAAACTTTTTCGGCATTTCTGCATGCACAGAACTCTCCATCCCCATAACCTAACTCAATCCTCACCCTGGAATTACATCACCCAGCTCCTGGTGCCAACATACCAATCTAAGCTCTACCACCCCCATGCCTGGTGCTGTCCCCCATTTTCAGGGCAGCCCCAGGCTGCCTGCCACCCTGCGCACAGCCCAGCAGATTTCTTTCTTTAATAAAGCTTGAACAGTACCTGGCATTTCGGCTCACTTTCTCTCAGTTTCAAAGTAGACTAAAGTAGAAATAGTTAACTAATGCTTATAATTTTCATATCATGCTAAAAAATTAAATGCCCTCAAGAATCTACATGGTAATCAATATACCATTCCTCTGTGATCTAAGTAACATTTAAAATAAAGGCATATAAGATACATTGCCAGTGCTACCCCACAGATCTCATTGTTTGAAATATAATCAACCTTTAATTCAATTTAGCATCCGAGGTTTAAATGCAGCCTTTTAAATTATTTGGGGGAAAAAAAATCATCACAGGAAACTAACATTTTCCCAAGTTAAAATGCACTCTGGTTTCTCTTCGGATTGTATGAATCTTTTGCCTTTTACCAAAGTTAAAATGCAGAAAGATAAAAATCCCTTTGGTTTTTGTTCTCATTTTCAGTTATAAAACTTAGTATTTTGATAAAAGCTTGAGCTTTATTATATCTCATTACAGGAAACAATGATAGAGACAAAATAATGCTATTTGAGCTATCCCAAGCATCAGAACAAATTGTAGTGAATGCTTATATAAACACATAAAATAGTGTTTTTATTCTTGGCCAAACAGAAACACTCCTCCTTTTGGTAAACATCTCTAGATATTTTAACAACAGTCCCTACCCCTTAGAACTCCCAGTATTTGGAATTCTGACCCTATATCACATTCCCATATGCAGTTTACTGCGACACATTTACATTCTATCTCCAAACATCTTCCCTGAAGAATGCTATTGAGCAGGGCAATACAACACAAGGTTAGCTAGCTAGAAAGAAGGGGAGAGAACAAACCCATTCATTCAATTGTTAGGAAAGAATGCATTCAGATCTTGGAACTATTTATGCTGAGAACTCTATGATTCTGGCATCTTCCCTTCTGCCAGGTCCCCTGCTGAGAATGTGAAGGGCCTTCTCTGCCCTTGGCTGCCTTCACGGAGTGAGCTGAAGCCAGGAGCAGTGTAAAAGCCAAGACCCACTTCTTTGCAGATGCTGTGAATGCTTTGAATGCAAGCAGACACTGACATTAAAACAAACTAAAATAAATCAAAACCCTACTGTTATTCCCGAATGTAACATTTAGTTACAGATCAATGTTTCCTAATTAACACACTCAGAATATTTATTCTTTACTATGCTAGCTCACAATTATTTTGGTTTCTGAGAATAATGCAGATGAGATTCAATAGCAGCCAGATGGCAAGAGGGAAGCAACATTACTCATGAATATGAACACAAATGATTACAGAGAGAAACCTACCAGTTATGTAATTAGCATATGTATAGGGGAGAAAAAGTGAATGAATAAGGTCAAAAATATTACTTTCCTGTTGAAGCATATCAGTGTCCATAGAGGTCAGCCAAAAGCAGGAAGCCCATCACCTTGCCACGTGCTGTGCGTGCAAGCAGTAGACTGTCCTGACATTAATGGAGCTGTGAGTGGGCATTCTGACACTGAAGCCCTTCCTTTCCATGTCACCACTATCCTCTGAGCCACCTCACATGCCCTAGCATTGTTACAAATCTAGGACTAAGGGTTGCTAGGCATGAAAATCTATAGTTATAAAGAAAAGACTTTGAAAAAGACTTTTTGAAAACTCCCTGAAGCTCAGGTGTAACTATACGAGGTAGAAAAAGTATGCCAGCTTTCACCCTCTGTAATTTTAGAATAAATGCCTATTTGGAAAGTAAGCATATTTAAACCTTCAGTAGAAATTACATTGACATTTTTACTAGAAAATGGTTTTCTATAAGTGTATTAAAATATTATACAAAATATGGATATAAGGCAAAACCTCATTTTTATGTCATATGGGGGCAAAGGCTACCCAAAAATTATAGAAGGGAGAGTACTTTGTCCAACTCGCTCTTCACAGTTGATTGAAGGTCACAGACTGAGTGTAGTGACAGGTTAGCCAGTAGATTTTTGTCTCGTTGAGAGGCAAAAGATTTCTGTTCAGTGGAAATGATACTTCCAAAGGTTACAGTTTGTTGCCCTGTAGGACAGTAACACTGTAGGACATATAACCAGTTTTTTATATAACCCACCAGTCTTAATGTAATATTTCATCATTAAATTGCCTATACATATTTACTAGTTCCTTCATTAAATCTTACTGGTGTTTTCATTAATTAATGAGTTGAATAAAATCCTTGACACATATCCATTTTATATTTTAAGATAGTTATAATTTCATCATTTAAAAAATATACTCTTCAAGTCGATAAATATTTCAGTGTTTATCCACATATTTATAAAAAAAGAAAATTATCCCAGATGATTGAATATGCATATTCCATGTATTGCAATTTTAATCTTGTTTCCTTTGGTATATTCTCTTTAGAAAGCACTGGTTTGCTAAAAAAGTAAATAACACAGGTATTATGTTTCTCAATGTGATGATATAACAAGGTATTATTGCATGCTTTTTATAATATCAATATTAACTAGAAAGATATTTGGGTCTGTATATTTCTAAATTTTATTTCACATACAGCATGATTTAGGAAATGATCACTTGTGCATGTTGGCTTCACAGGCTCTAAAAAGTCCAAACAGTAGGTCTTCATAAAACAGACAAAGTTTCCCCACCCATAATTCACATTAATATGAACAGTTCTAACTATAATGAATCACAGGGTTTGGCAGGTCAATAGGATTATGGCACTAGATCAAACAAGCTTCCGGGCAGGTTATAACATCATCTTTGACAACTGCTAAGAAGCTTTCAAGAATGGCAAGTACAGGGAAGGGCAATCTACTAGAAGACACAAAAGACACTGTCAAACATTTAAGCCATTTTTCTCAAATCTGCATGGGCACAGGGGCCTCTGAGCAATGAGAGAACAGAAGAGAGTCACGTTCACTGCAATATAATTGTTAAGCAGGCCCACGCAGGTTGAAATTTAATTCACACTGTCACCATATTTGCTGGGACATGTGAGTAGACTATTTCAGTGCTTTTCAAACTGTATTTTGCATTCAAATCCACTGGGAATCTCATTAAAATGCAGGTTCTCATTCAATAGGTCCAGGTGGGCCCTAAGAGTCTGCATTTCTAGCCAGCTCCTAGGTACTGCTGAGGCCACTGGTCAAGGATCATACTGGTGAAGGGTGGAGAACATCTCACCTCACTAAACCACAGAGGCCAACGTGGGCTTTTCATGTTGAACATGGCATGTCAGAGTTTCCAGTGTGCATTTTTGAAACATGCATAAAAGAATAAAAACTGAATTACATTAGTGCCGTACTTGAAAGTGATACTGTAGTCTTTGCAAGTCCGAAAGTGATATTCTGATGTAGAAATACTTGTGTGCAAAGAAGTGCAACAAGAGAAAGATCTGAAAATTCTTTGTAGACCTGGTGACAAGGGTGTTCACATTTAGAGGAAAAGTAAATCTATTCCAGTGTTTTGTCACTGACCCTGGGGAATGGTGGCTTGTACCCTAAGGCCTGGCTCCCTGTGCTAAAGCAGAGCTCCCTGAGGGAATACTTTGTACCCCTCTACCATATTAAAAACTGGACATTACTAGAAATTTTTTAAATATCAGTCTTCTTTTGCAGACTGTTCTAGTGAAGTCAGATATGGCCATGTTCTCTCTTTGATAAGGCAGTACAATCCCAATTGCAGAGACTGTCACTTCCTTGTCATTAAGGATGTGTCAAGTGAGAAGAAGGTACAGTCACTTAACTTATCATAATGGAGAAGTGAGGTCCAAGATGCAATGAGGTACAAGATTATGGCACTGGGTGACCCTTTGTTTTCACTAATGTGGTGAGAGCTCAGTAGTGTGGTGTGGAAACCAAACTATGCCATAGACGTTGCACATGGAATAATTTTATGCAGGTGTCAGGGCTTTATAAAAATCAAACAAATCACAGCACTTTCAGGAAACCCTGGGTGCATTTAAACTTATGATACATGAAGCATTTACTTCCTTTCCCAAGTGAGCATGTTTTAAGGAACATTCCCACAGACACACATAAACACAGACCTCAGTAATGTTTTGAAATTAAAATTCAGTTCCAGGTCTTTAGCTGATTTTCAGAGCATAGATGCAAGCCAGCTACCTCACTCTTCTATGTCTGTCTGCTGCACCCCAATTAGTGTTCGTCAGATCACCAACAGGACATATTTTGGTAATAAGGCCAGTTCTCAGGCAGTTTTACGGCTGTGATGGATAAACAGTCCATTTGGCCTTTTGTGACTGGCTAGATACTGCTATTACTCTCCACAGGCAATTTGGCCCAGCTCAATTCTCTAAACTCTGTAAGGTGAAGTATCTCATTTTGAAGCAGCACCACAGAGAAGAAGGGTGGATGTTAATTATTTTGAGAACTTGGTTCCCTTTTTCAATCGCATTTGGGAGGTATGGTTGCAATGATGAAGAGGATTTTTGTAAATCAATGTTTTGTGAATTTTAAAATTGATTCCCAAACAATAAAAGGACAAAAGACATAACCTCTTTGAGATCTATGTATTTGTTTGATTGCCAAAATCCATGTTAAGTATTGTTCCTTTTAAAAAACACAGCTCAAGGACAGAGATCATAAGAAATACAAGTACCCAGTGGAAGAAGTAAAGTTATCTTTCATCACAGTAAGGTCTAAAGTCTTCCTTCTCCTCTAGGAAATCCTCGAGTAAATAATAATAGAGCTCAAATAATTATTTATTCAATCATTCAATAGCTATCACGTGCTTTTATTTTTAATTGGTTATTATTTACCAATAAATATACTTGGATAGAGGGAGAATAATACATAGTCTCTGTCCACTAAACAAAAATAGCTCTATTGTTTTGTAATAACAAGTCAGGCTCACCACTAACAATGCATTTCAGAGCCCTCTGTCTCTAACTAAACCCCCACCCCTCCAAGCACACACACGATTTGACAACCAGTGGCCCCATACTGTACAAGCTGTTCTGTAACCTGCTTTTTTTCATTAGCAATATATCACAGTCATCTTTCCACGATAACAGAACTATATTATTTTAAGGGCTGTATAATTTTCCACTCTATGGAAACACCATACCTTATTTAACTAGATCTGATCAATGGACACTTAGTATGTTTTCCTTTTTGCTAGTAAATGCATTTGTGAACATCCTGGAGGTATAACAGAGACTGGTAATTAAAAGCATGCATTTCTAAAGTCAGACTGCTTGGTTTTAAACCTCAGTTCAGTTTTTTACTAACTACATAAACTTGGTTACCTAATCTCTCTGTACCTCATCTGTAAAAATGGGATAATAGTAATACATCCCTTATAGGGCTGCTGTTAACTACCCTGTGAAGTAGTTAACATAGGTAAAGCACTTAGAATGCTGCCTAGCAGATCAAATATTCAGGAATACATCTAAATATGATATGCAAGACCTCTACACAGAAAACTGCAACATTACTGAGATAAATCCACGACCTAGAGGGATACACTGCGCCCACGTATTGGGATACTCAACATTGCAAAAGATGCCAGTTCTCCCAAATTGATTTATAGATTCAATTTAATCTTAATGAAAAGTCCAGCACTGGAGAAAATAACAGGCTGATTCCAAAATTTATATAAAAATACAAAGGGCCAAGAGAAGCAAAGATAATGTGGAAGAACAAAGTTGGAAGACTTTCACTACCTAACATCAATGCATACTTATTGCAAAGCTACAGTAAATAAGAGAGTGATATTGGCATGAAGATAGACAAATAGACTAATGGAAATGCCAGGAGTCTCCCCTCTCTCAAGAACTGGTCACCCAAGAAGCCCCAAAGCCTTATGCCGTTACCTACTGCTCCATGGTTCTGTCTTACACATCACTACACCTGCCACACTCAGCTCAGGAACTTCTAGAAGCACAAAAGCAAGCATCCATGCTTGAATGGTATTTGCTGTTGCTTGACACTTCTGTTACATTTTTCACAAGTTAAAGTTTATTCCTACAGGCAAAACAAAGTAATGTTGGAAAACAAATTAGATGTAAGATCTGGCCTGAGTTCCCATGATGAATACCATATTCAGACTAATGGATGAATCTTGTCAAATCTGACTCAATAAAGTACAAAGAAATAAGCAAGAAAAAAATAGATTTATCAACAGATGACAGATGATATCTATTGCAATCTACTTGATATTTACTGGGCACTAACTACTGTTAGGCTCTCTGCTGGGAACTGTGGAGAGGGGGTATGCAAAGGTGAAGAAAATAAGATTGTTACCCTCAAAGGACTCGCAATCTAATGAGACAAACAGACATGAATATAACCAACCATATGACAGTACAAGCTTGTAGCTGGGCTACTCTCTGCCTTATTATTGGGTCCTACCAGGTAGCTGTGGGTCATGTATCTGACTTCTTCTCATGTTTGCTTATATGCAAATCCTGTTTTGACACTCTACCTGGTTCTCCAGGCCTTGTAGGACAAGAACCTTACTTTGTTCTTGCAGAATTGAGGAATGATTGTTTCTGATTGCAGCTGGGTTTGGAAGTACACAGGTTATCTATCCTTATCCACTTTAGAAACCATGTTACTGGCCTGGCCACATGCCTCCTTTTTTTTTTTCTAATTTTTCTGAATGATTTATGAGACAATAAGAAGAACATACAAGGGGTCTTCAAAAATTTCATGGAAAGACTCATATTATCTTTTAATTGTATTTTTTCCATGAGCTTTTTGAACTACCCTTGTAGGAGGCTTTCTGGTTGAGGCAAAGTGGCCTCACCCCGGATATTAGATTTGACTTTATTGAGTCAGATTCATCCATTAGTCTAAATATGGTACTCATGAGGGGACAATCCAGAACTGCTATCACAAGTTTATTTACACTTAATCAAACAAGTTAATAATACTGGTTTACAAGTAGCTCCAGAAAAAATTCAAGAAAAGGAGCCTTGGAAATACCTTTGTTTTTTAATCACTCAGAGAAGTATACAGCCACAAAATATATCTTTCCATGTTGAGGAGCCTTTTACTCTAAATGATTTACAAAAATTACTTGGCCACATTAACTGGCTCCACCCGTCTATGGGCATTCCTACTTATCACTTACAACATTTGTTTACTACCTTAAAGGGAGACCCTGATCTGTCCTCCCCTCATTACTTATCCGAAGAAGCAAAATTAGAATTAAAACAGATTGAATCCTTTTTACATTCCAGACAATTAACACATATTGTTAAATCTCAAGTCACTCATTTCATTATTTTAAACACCCCACATAGTCCTGCATGTTTGCTTTGCCTATTTCTTCCTCAAATAGGAGACATTGAATGGGTTTTTCTTACCCCATCAACAAAAAAATAAATTATATACTAAATTAGAACAATGTATTCATTTACTCACTAGGGGAAGACACCGTTGTCAAGTACTTACTGGGTATGATCCTGATATTATTAATCCTGGTCTTCCTAAAACTGATTTTTACACTGCCCTTGAACAATCAGTCTTTACTGATAACTATGGCTGCTTTTGTTGGTAAGATACAATTTTGATTACCCCATGATAAAATTTTACAGGGATTCCAAATACTGCCAATATAATTAAAATCCTGTTTATCCCCTATTCCCCTCCCTCAAGTGCTAACTGTGTTTACTGATGGTTCTGGCAAATCAGGAAAGGGATCGATAACATGGCAGGAACAGGGAATCTGGAAACATTTTGTTACTATCCATCATAAGTCCACTCAAAGGGCTGAATTGGCAGCTGCCATTGCAGCTTTACAACATTTTTACAATCAGCCACTTAATTTAGTAGCTGAATCTGCCTCCGTAGTTGGAGTCTTACAGGTAATTCAAGACGCATCTATCCACGAGGAAAATGATTTTCTTTTATTTGAAATGTTTCGACATTTACAAAAACTTACTCAAAAATGACATCATCCTTCCTATGTAACTCACACGCATTCTCATTCTAGTCTTCCTGGCCCTTTATCAATTGGAAATGATATGGCTGATCACTTTGTTATATATAATAATGTTTTACAGAAAGCTATTGATTCTCATCAGTTTTTTCATCAGGGTGCACAAGCTTTGGCTAACATGCATCAGATCCCTTACAGTCAAGCTCAAGATATTGTTCGTGCTTGTCCCGACTGTCAGAGGTTTTCTAAATCTAACTTCCCTGGAGGAGTTAATCGTCAAGGAATAGCAGGTAATGAAATTTGTAAAATGAAAGTCAATCATTATTCGACTTTTGGACGTCTTAAATATTTACATGTTACTGTTGATACTCACTCTGGTCTTATTCATGCCACTGCCCAAACAGGAGAAACAGCTAAGCATGTTAAAAAACATTGTCTTTCTGCCGTTGCCACCATGGGGATTCCAAATCAAATTAAAACAGATAATGCACTGGCATACACCTCCAAAATCTTTCAAGTATTCTGTGACAACTGGAACATTAAACATGCCACAGGAATCCCATTTAACCCCACTGGCCAAGCAATTGCTAAAAGAGCTAATGGCCTTTCTAAATCTCAAATAGGTAAACAAAGGAGGGGTAATATAGATATAGGACTGGCCTCTCCTGGACAGGTCTTTAAAGCTCTGTTTACACTAAACATTTAAAATTTAACTTCCATAAATTAACAGCCACAGAACGACACTTTATACTTCCTAAAAAGAGACCTAGACCATTGGTTTTATTCTGCCACCTGCCTGTGGGACCACAGTGGTTGAGAACTGTTGAATTCTTAACACAGGGGACAGGGTATGCATCTGTTCTCTCACCCACAGGCCTGCTATGGATTCCTGCTAAGGCTGTTGAAAGGACTTGCCATGCTAAATGATACCAACTTTGCTTTAAATGCTTTTGTCTTAACTGTGAAAACCTAATCTATAGCTTTTGTTTTTTCTTTTAAATAAATAAAACAGGGGGAGATGTGGAGTATGCATAAAGCAAATGTACTTCACAGGGCCTGGTTTTCCAAAGCCTTACAGTTTCAAATATTGACCTTGCAAAGGACAGGAAGTTTTCCCCAGGCTAAAGTCTCTGTTGTAAGATAAAGAACTGTAACACAGCAAGGTTGCTGGCTCAAAGACAGGTTATGGATTGATATGTAAAGATACTGAGAATGTTTGCTAAAATCAAGATTTGTTAGTAGATTGACTTAATTGCATTATAGAATGTCACCTTGCTTGTCTTATTGAATGTTACCAACTTCTATTGTTAAACTGTACTTAGCAAAAACCCCACCTATGTTCTTGTCCTGTAACTTCCTGGTCTAAAGAATAAATGCAGGAAGAGAACCCCAATTCGGGGTTAATTTCCCAAATGGAAGGAATGCCTCTCTCTTGAGGGTTCTGGGAGATTAACCCCTTTTCTGGGCTTCTCACTGCTCAGAAGAGATGGGCTTTGAGTAATCTTTGGCAGCTCCATCACCTAGGGGACAAGGGCTGACAAATCTGTGGGAGGCAAAGCAACACTTTCTCACTGACATAAACTACCCGTTTCCCAGTAGCTACGCCGACTACCCATCTCAAGCCCTGTGGACTTATCTCTGCAGCTGCAGTACCAGCCCATTGGGCCGCCCAGCCATCAGCACCATCTTCCCTTCCCAGTCAGGCTAATTGTCGGTTGATTATCACACTCCTTCAGGTCTGACAACGTTCCACACTGGAACAGCCTCTGAGATGCCAGACCACAGAATGTAAGAGGCCAACCTGTTTCTGCCACAGCAGGAAGGATGTAAGTGGCTTCTGTATGAGGCAAACTGACCTACTGTCAGTCTGGGCCTCCTTCAACCCTTTAGATATTGGCTCACTGCCATGCAGGGACCTCTGATCTCTGCATAATTCTGGGGCCCTGACCACCTTCCATCTCTGTACATCTTTTATGGGATGCAAGACTCATTCCAGCTCCCCTCCTAGATTTAGAGCAAGTGCATAGCCTCTTCTCCCCACACTTACAGAATGGACAAAAACTACGTCCCAGGTGTAGCTTTTTGGACAGCGCTGGGAAAGGAAATAAAAAATTAATTTGCCTGTGTTTGTTATTAGAAATTCATACCACAAGCAGTTCTTACTGGAAATGGTGCTAAGCCTTAATTCTGATTCCACTAATACAGAAGCATAAAATGGCTTTAATTTCCCTTTATATCACCCCCAATAATGGCTATCTAAACTTCTCCTATGCAGAAGTTAAAAAAAAAAAACAAAACAATTTTAAAAATAAGAGGGGATGAATGTTTTACCATGAGTATTCATTACTTTTGAAACCAGAAATAATTCTCTATTTTTACAAAAGGGTAAAAATATTTCTCTTCGGGGTAGAGAGAAAACAATAGGCATAATAACATGGTAACTGACGCTCAGCAACCTACCAAATTCCCTTTTTATCTCAGTAATTAACTCAACCAACAGGGTACAACAAAAAGCAAGGCTTGGTAGGGTATAATTTATATTACAATAGGCTTTTCCCTCCATATTAATAAGTAAGGCAGTTTGAAGTAAGTTTTTTTTTTTTTTTTAAAGTGGCTAAAACAACTTGAAAAAATACACCAAAAATGCTCTAGTACAAATCCTGTCACTATTTTGTATGGCCCACAGATAATTTAATATTTGAAAAGTCTTTCAGCATGCTCCAACTTCAACCAAAACTAAAGCAATACTTAGCAGGAAAAGTAAATGAGTAAAGCAAATAAAATATCTATATAATTATCCACAGATCAAACAGTTTAGGGACAATAAAACACAGCAGCACTTCAACTAATTCAAGCTCAGAATAACAGAACAACCATTCACTGTTTACCCATGTTTCACATATTCACTAATATAACAACAAATATTCTGGCTAATTTTACTGTTAATATATCTGAGATGATTGTTTTATCTGTCAAATGACTTAAAATCATTTCTGGGTAAGTTGAATAATTTAGGGTATCACAAATATAGTTATGAACAGCCGTCTTGATTTATCTTTTCCCCCTGTGGCTGGTTGGTAAAGGGATACGAACCCTTAACTTTGGTATCTTCAGCACCATGCTCTACCAAATGAGCTAACTGGCCAGCCCCACAAGTACAATTTTATGCCCAGTTTTTGAGTCTTCAAAAGAGCAGGAAAAAATGCCATGATGTTGCTGTAGAAAGAGTATCACTGGGGCTTTGTCTGCCCTCTTCTTCGGGTAACAGGAGGCACTTTATTTTGTAGGACCGCCCCTCCCCTCCCGTATGTCAATCCTAACCCTAACCCTTGCTGCCAATCCCAGCCCCTGCTCGCACAGGCTGGCTCCTGACCCAGCTGGTCCAATTTCAGTCCTTGGCATCCCTTGGACAGCATTTGCTGCAGAAGTGGAATCACTGTCCAGGTGAGGCCAATTAGAGATCTTTCCTGAAACTCTCCAGAATTTAAGCCCACAGCTCCCTGGGTCTAGCCTCAGGAAGAGTAGCAGCCTGAGAGCATGTACCCACCATGCAGAGAGATGCAGAGATGAGGCTGGGAAAGAATGGTATGGGGGGCCTTCTGATGAAGGTCAAGACTTTGGAGCCCACTCTCCCAATGGCCGGCTGCATCTCTGACCTCCTTATACTGTGGTTATAAAAACCAATAAAGTTCCCTTCCAGCTTAACTACTTCGAGCTGCTGTCTGTTCTTTGCATCAAGGAGTCCTGACTAATACAGACGGTAACCATTGGACACTTGGGGGCATTCAATTGTGGTGAAGTCGTTGGACTCTTCCTAGACCCTGTTCTCAGGACACTGCCACTGAAGACCCAGGGGTGGCTCCCAGAGGCCCATTTCTGCTCTGTGACCCTGTCCCCCTGCCAAGGTTCACTGGTCCAAGGATAGTGCCAGTTCAACCAAAGTCTCACCTCCATACATTAGAGTTTTGATCTGAGGGAGGAGTTGTCAGGAGCTGGCCTATGTGAACAGCGGCACTCTAAAGGGAAGAATATGACACTCCACAGAGCCACCCTGCTTCTGGTCCTTCCTGGGCCTTAGTTGTTTGACCCTGTCTTGAATTCCATGAGCCACCCTAGTCCTTCCAAGACATTCTGCATGCTGTCTCTCTCTTTTCTCTCAGCTGCCTACTATTGGTTTATTCTTCAAACCAAGAGAACATGAAATTATACACCAAAAAACCTGTTTCTGTAAATCATTGTAGCATGTATAATGCTTTTTAAAAAATTTTTCTACCTACTGAGACACCTGGCTTGAGCAATCAGGAACTTTCTTTTACCTTAAATGGCAAGCCCAGAGGTAGGGCGGCCCCACGCATGGTATCAGCAGCAGCTGAGTGATGTCATCAGAGCCTCAGTGTTTTATTTCCACGTTTTGCATGAACAGTGCTAACTTCTTTCAAAGGCCAATTCCCTTAAAGTCCCCAAGTGGCTGCCGCGCCCAACAGGGGCTGGGCTATCTGTGTCAACATTCATGTCCAGCAGGAGATAGAGAAGCTTCTCTCCCGTGCATGTTAGTGGCATGATCAGATTTGGAAGTGACATCCTGGCAGTGGCATGAGAATGGCATTGAGATATGCTAAGAGGCAGAATTGACTGCATGGTGATGACTTGGGTGATAGAGGCATGGGAAGGGAGGAGCCAGGGTATCGCCCAAGTTTCTTGCTTGGGCACTTCGATAAGTGGAGAGATCCTTCCCTGAGGTGGGGCCAGAGCTGGTTTGGTGAGACGGTGACACCACCCTGCACATTTAGTGCCTCCCCACACTTCACTATCCAGGAATAGCCTGTCCAGGAATCTGGCTGCAGCCTGTCAGCAAAGCCTCGACATGGAGCAAATTGCCTGTGATGGGAAGATTTCTTAATGGGTGAGATAAGAAAATTGTTTCCCTCAATGAATGCTCTTCCTGCTTCTGCACAGAGAACCACTTATACAAAGCAGGCAGCCGCCTGAATGACAGCTGTATGCTCTGCCAACATCACAGCTGTGTGCCATCAGCATGGCTCATGGTGTGCGCATGGTGGGTGCCTGCACAGCATGTCTCCACCTTCCTTCCACCTGCCACCCCAGCCTTGCTCAGGTGCAGGCCCATGGCCCACGCCAGAGGATTATCTTCCTGGATCCAGCCAATGACTCTCAACCCTGGTTGCACATTAAAATCAACCAGGGAGCTCTGAAAAAATACCAAAGCCTAGGACCCACCTCCAGTTATAGACAGACAGAAAGACAGATACAGATATAGATACAGATACAAGGGTACTTCAAAAACTTCACGGAAAAAATAGAATTAAAAGATACTAATATTTCCATGAACTTTTGAAGACCCTGCATATATATATATATAGTAATAAAACACAGATAACATAAAATTGACCATCTTAAGCATTTGAAAGTATACAGTGGTATCAAGAACAATTACATTATTGCGCCACCATCACCACCATCCATCTCCAAAACTCATTTCGTCTTGCAAAACTGAAACTCTATACACATTAAACGATAACTCCCCGTTTGCCCCTTCCCCCAGTCCCTGGCAATCGCCATTTCTACTTTCTGTCTCTGAATTTGACTACTCTGGGAACCTTATCTAAGTGAAATAATAGAACATCTGTCCTTTTGTGACTGGTTTACTTCACTTAGCAGAATGTCTTCCAGGTTTATCTAGGTTGTAGCATGTGTCAGAACCTCCTTCCTTTTCAAGACTGAATAATATTTCATTGTATGTATATCACATATTTTGTTTATCCACTCACCTGTTGATGAACCCCTGGGTTGCTTCCACCTTTTGGATGTTGTAACTAAAGTTGCTCTGAACGGGGCATACAGATATCTCCAGAGATGTTTTTTAAAAGCTTCCAATGGGATTTGAATATGCAGCTAGGGTTGAGAGCCATGACACATGGCAGTCCCCAGAAACCATGAGGGGTCTGGGGAAGGCACGTGCTACCTTAGTCAGCTCCATCCAGCTGCTCCACGCTAATTACAGTATTCATCATAAGTAATCAGCAGCTTATACATCTGTCTCCTTCCACAGACATGGAGACCCAGGNTCTACCCTACTATTAAAACCACTCATTCCCTTCTGCTACTACAAGTCATGCACCATCATACCCTGGGCCATGCTCTGGTCCTACAGCCTGACTCGTACCTGGGCCTGAGCCCAAGTCTAAGATCTTTATAAAATAAAATTGTGATTGCGACAGCAGCCCTGGGCCCCAACAGTAGTAGAACCGGATGGGGGTGGGGGAATAGCTGCTGTGGCCCCTCGCTCCAGTTTCTTCTGGGATAGATGCTCCAGCACTGAGGGCTGTAGCCGTTTCTTACACCCGCCTGAGAGGTCTCATCTGTCTTTCCACAGGTCTCTACTTCTCCATCCCCACAACCCACTGTAAAAAGAAAAAAATTAGCTGTATTTTTATTGAGGTGGGTCTTGTGTGCTCTTTATTCATGTCTATAGCTCCACATTCTCCTGTTTACTTTGGTTTTAATTTTAACCTGAATTCCCGAGATCCTTTTGTATGGAAACCTATGGAAATTAAAAAGTAGCCCCAGATAAAAGAAATGCCAAAACACCCAGGAGTTCTCCTTAACTCCATATTGCAGTCTATAAACGTGTTTGGAGAGAGCCTCTTTGTCATGCGAAGCAGTGGTGTAGCAAATCAAGAATGTTCTCCTCCTCTTCTCCCCTTCCTCTCAGCAGCCACCAGACAGGATGGGGGCAGCAAGGAAATGCCTCCATAGGTCGAACAGTATGACTGGCCCTTAATTGCTCCATCAGCATTTCCAGCATCTGGGAGCCTTTCACCCACACAGGACTAGTCAGGCCAGGGCTAGGTGAGGCCGGAGAGGCAGGGTTGTGCAAATGCAGGGTTGGATCTTGTCTGCATTTAAAATTTGCATGTTTTGCTCATCATAGATTTTTCTGGCATTAATTCAAACATTTTTTTATAATATTGCGTTAAAATTATTTGTCTTTATACTGAGTTTTTCGGCACCCCTTAAATTTTGTGCTCGCTTGCCTGTCCCCCTCCCCCCACAAGGCCTGGCCCTGAGTCCAGTTGCTTCCAGCAGCCCCCTTTGCATTTTAAGAGGAGAGTGCGATGCAGCTCTCTGACACTCTCTGGAGTCGCACACCCCTTCTCTGGGTTTACCTCCACTCAGTTCCCAGCCTCTGTCCATTGTCACAAATGATCTCCCTGAGTCTGTTCTCTCTGCTGCTTCTGCTTTTCTGCTCCCATCCCTTCCACCTTCCCTGTGATGCCCCACACCAGACAGCAGGGAAAGTCCCTCCAAGATAATTTTTGGCTCAAGTAATGTTTGAGCTTCATAGTTCGGATGCACACAGGGGGCGAGGGCCCATTTGTTTGTAAAAGAAATCTTTCCTGTACCGATTATGATGGTAAGTAATGTCCTTGTGGTAAACCATGGCCATCTTTACCCTCTGGAACTTCAAGGCAGCCGCTGGCACACTCGGAAACTGAATTCTCGACTAATTTCCACTGTGCTAACTGTGGCAGCCTGTAAAAAATTCCTAGTATGGTGCAAGGGAGGACGGACCTTTAAATGCAGATCTGTCTCCCTGTTCCCACCACCACCTCCAGCCTGTGGAAGGAAGCCATCAGAAGACAAAATTGCACCAAATTTAAAGACCTAGGTTGGCTTTATTTGTGTTTCTAGAATCAGGCAACACTTTATTCATAAAGTCGAATAAGTGTTCCAATGAATCTAGCACAGGGGGTTGGTTTTGTAGACAGAAAAGGCTAAAGAAAACAGAAACAAAGAACAAAAAGCAGACCGGTCACTTCCAAGTTACTTACCTTGTAAGGCAGGGACAGGGAGACAGACAAGAGAAAAATAACTGATAGGTTAACATCAAGTTACTTCAGGATAAGGATTAAAACAGAGGGAGCTAAGTTATCACACCAGTGAAACTGGTCTGTGCTGGGAAATTAGGCTGTTCTCTCTCTCTCCTCATTCCTCTGAAGGCCAGATAACAACTCAATTTCTGTTTGCTTCATGGAACTCTGTCAAGAGTGATGACTTCATTTTGATTTTTAGTCTGTTGTTGGGGCCTAGCACAGGAGCTTAGTCCAAAACGTGGACTCCTGTAATTTTTATTTAGCAAAGCAAAGTCATGATTCTGGACTCCTCTGACTTGGCAGGACCCTTACCCCACAAGGGCAGCAGAGACCCTTGAACTTCAGGCCTGTCTCTGTGAAGACCAAAGTGGGGAACTGCTTATTCGCATCCTTGACCCCGGGTGTTTTCTCTGCAATGCCTGCTGCATCATTAGTAAATCAACGTGAAAATAAATGACCTGAGTCTCCATTGCTGTTCCAGCCCATCTTCAAAGTCTTGAGGGTCTAGCCTAACTCAGCCTCATCGATATTATCTTAATGTTACATTACTGTTATTCTGCATGCGCCCTAACATAATAATGACTTAACTCATTGGATTGGCCTGATGAGAAATGTAATTNTGAACGGGGCATACAGATATCTCCAGAGATGTTTTTTAAAAGCTTCCCATGGGATTTGAATATGCAGCTAGGGTTGAGAGCCATGACACATGGCAGTCCCCAGAAACCATGAGGGGTCTGGGGAAGGCACGTGCTACCTTAGTCAGCTCCATCCAGCTGCTCCACGCTAATTACAATATTCATCATAAGTAATCAGCAGCTTATACGTCTGTCTCCTTCCACAGACATGGAGACCCAGGAGGGTGGGGTAGGTTCATTTATCTCAATATCTCCCAGATCTAGCTCCAAGCCTGTAGAAGCTTATCAAGTTGCTGCTGAATAAAAATTCTGAATCCATAGTTTCACTCTACCCTACTATTAAAACCACTCATTCCCTTCTGCTACTACAAGTCATGCACCATCATACNTCTACCCTACTATTAAAACCACTCATTCCCTTCTGCTACTACAAGTCATGCACCATCATACTCTGGGCCATGCTCTGGTCCTACAGCCTGACTCGTACCTGGGCCTGAGCCCAAGTCTAAGATCTTTATAAAATAAAATTGTGATTGCGACGGCAGCCCTGGGCCCCAACAGTAGTAGAACTGGATGGGGGTGGGGGAATAGCTGCTGTGGCCCCTCGCTCCAGTTTCTTCTGGGATAGATGCTCCAGAACTGGGGGCTATAGCCGTTCCTTACACCTGCCTGAGAGGTCTCCTCTGTCTTTCCACAGGTCTCTACTTCTCCATCCCCACAACCCACTGTAAAAAGAAAAAAATTAGCTGTATTTTTATTGAGGTGGGTCTTGTGTGCTCTTTATTCATGTCTATAGCTCCACATTCTCCTGTTTACTTTGGTTTTAATTTTTAACCTGAGTTCCCGAGATCATTTTGTATGGAAACCTATGGAAATTAAAAAGTAGCCCCAGATAAAAGAAATGCCAAAACACCCAGGAGTTCTCCTTAACTCCATATTGCAGTCTATAAACGTGTTTGGAGAGAGCCTCTTTGTCATGCGAAGCAGTGGTGTAGCAAATCAAGAATGTTCTCCTCCTCTTCTCCCCTTCCTCTCAGCAGCCACCAGACAGGATGGGGGCAGCAAGGAAATGCCTCCATAGGTCGAATAGTATGACTGGCCCTTAATTGCTCCATCAGCATTTCCAGCATCTGGGAGCCTTTCACCCACACAGGACTAGTCAGGCCAGGGCTAGGTGAGGCTGGAGAGGCAGTGTTGTGCAAATGCAGGGTTGGATATTGTCTGCATTTAAAATTGGCATGTTTTGCTAATCATAGGTTTTTTCTGGCATTAATTCAAACTTCTTTTTTTAAATATTGCGTTAAAATTATTTGTCTTTATTACTGAGTTTTTTGGCACTCCTTAAATTTTGTGCTCGCTTGCCTGTCCCCCTCCCCCCACAAGGCCTGGCCCTGAGTCCAGTTGCTTCCAGCAGCCCCCTTTGCATTTTAAGAGGAGAGTGTGATGCGGCTCTCTGACACTCTCCGGAGTCGCACACCCCTTCTCTGGGTTTACCTCCACTCAGTTCCCGGCCTCTGCCCATTGTCACAAATGATCTCCCTGAGTCTGTTCTCTCTGCTCCCATCCCTGCCACCTTCCCCGTGATGCCCCACACCAGACACCAGGGAAAGTCCCTCCAAGGTAATTTTTGGCTAAAGTAATGTTTGAGCTTCATAGTTGGGATGCACACAGGGGGCGAGGGCCCATTTGTTTGTAAAAGAAATCCTTCTTGTACCAATTATGATGGTAAGTAATGTCCTTGTGGTAAACCACGGCCAGCTTTACCCTCTGGAACTTCAAGGCAGCCACTGGAACACTCGGAAACTGAATTCTCAAGTAATTTTCACTGTGTTAACTGCAGCAGCCTGTAAAAAGTTCCTAGTATGGTGCAAGGGTGGACGGACCTTTAAATGCAGATCTGTCTCCCTGTTCCCACCACCACCTCCAGCCTGTGGAANCATTCAGCAGTAATTGCTCATCTGAATCTTGCATTCCCTAGGCCAGCAATCTAATTATCTACAACTTTTTTTATATAGGGAAATGGAAGATGAGAAGGGGAAGATGCCTAGGAATATGGTTCCAGGAGGAAGTTTCACAATATATAAACATGCAAATAAGACATAGTAGAACTTGCTTTAAGGCTCATGACCAAACTACTGTGCTGGCAGTTGTAATGGAGTGAATAATTTTTATTTCTACCTATTTTTAAATTAGAACTTGAGAAATAAGCAATTCGGCCAAGGGGCAAGGGAGATGGTCAGTGCTATAATCTGGAAGTCCCAACAAGCAACTTCTCATCCTTCGGAGGAGACCCAGGGGCAATGGGCCCAAATCAAGAATGGGTGGATTTATGGACAGATGTCGAAGTAACAGTCCAGACTCTATAAATCTCAACATTTGCTGGTGGGAAATAATAGCAGCTGGAAGAATCTGGCTCCTGCAGAGTCATATAAGGAACACACAGATATTCTGCTTATAAATGAGACGTAGAGATATAATCCACTTGCTTCACATACTAACGTCCATGCTATTCCATAGAGGTAAGGACTGAGACAGTGGAGCACTGTCTATGGCATGAGAAGCACATATATATATATATATACACATACATATATATATTATTTATTTATTTACTTATATTTTTATTTATATTTTTAAAAAAGATGACCAGTAAGGGGATCTTAACCCTTGACTTGGTGTTGTCAGCACCACACTCTCCCAAGTGAGCTAACCAGCCATTTCTAAATAGGGTCCGAACCCATAGCCTTGGTGTTATCAGCACCACACTCTCCTATGTGAGCCACGGGGTGGCCTTGAGAAGCACCTTATAGCCACCATCTCATTTAGTCTTCACATAACTCTATGAAGTAGGTTCTGTTATTATAAGGAAGCCCTTAACCACGATAATGCATTACATTAGTATTGAACTTTATTACAAAGATGCTTTTTCATCATTCAGCCCATTCAATCCTCACAACAGGGTTCAGAGAGGTGAAATGACTTGCCCAAGGTCACACTGCCAGTAAGTGACAGCGTCAGAACCAGAAGCCAAGCCTTCTGAGTCCAAGTCCAGTTTGTTCTTTCCCATGTCACACAGGAGTACGATAACACCTGGGTGTATGTCTTCTCTTAAGATTTATCATTGACCGAGTCTCAGATTTTAATTGAAAAGTGTTTAAGATTAACGAGTATTTGGAAATAGTGTTTGGACATTAGCCTCAACACATATTTATATAAATAAAACCATATCTAGAGCTGTTTACAAGCAAGTAACTCAAATAGCTAAATATCTTTATCATTAAAAATTAAATAGGAAAGAAATTTACAATACAGCTCATGAAACTTATGAAAACTGGTACATCATGTGGGCTGAAATAGTTTTTTAAACAGCACTAAGTGGCTTTAAAATGAGTGTATAAATGGTGGTGGCTATTATTGTNTTATAGCCACCATCTCATTTAGTCTTCACATAACTCTATGAAGTAGGTTCTGTTATTATAAGGAAGCCCTTAACCACGATAATGCATTACATTAGTATTGAACTTTATTACAAAGATGCTTTTTCATCATTCAGCCCATTCAATCCTCACAACAGGGTTCAGAGAGGTGAAATGACTTGCCCAAGGTCACACTGCCAGTAAGTGACAGCGTCAGAACCAGAAGCCAAGCCTTCTGAGTCCAAGTCCAGTTTGTTCTTTCCCATGTCACACAGGAGTACGATAACACCTGGGTGTATGTCTTCTCTTAAGATTTATCATTGACCGAGTCTCAGATTTTAATTGAAAAGTGTTTAAGATTAACGAGTATTTGGAAATAGTGTTTGGACATTAGCCTCAACACATATTTATATAAATAAAACCATATCTAGAGCTGTTTACAAGCAAGTAACTCAAATAGCTAAATATCTTTATCATTAAAAATTAAATAGGAAAGAAATTTACAATACAACTCATCAAACTTATGAAAACTGGTACATCATGTGGGCTGAAATAGTTTTTTAAACAGCACTAAGTGGCTTTAAAATGAGTGTATAAATGGTGGTGGCTATTATTGTTATTTTCCTGCAGCCAGCTTCTTCTTGCCACTTTCTTCCTAAGTAGCATCAGCACATTCTCAGACCTCTCTGGATACTGAGAGTACCGTGAGGGGGGCTGGTGCTTGGTACACTACCTTCTGGGGCAGTTGACACTGGGTACAACAAAGCTCAGAAGTCTGCATTAAGTTAATTCAGACAGTACTGAGGGGCTCAGATATTTTTTGATCCTGGCATCACGTTTAAGTAAGTTATGACAAAAGATTATCTCTAGTCGGATATATTTCTTATAACTGTCCCTTCCCATTTAGGAAACAAAGGTCTAAACCCAGGTGGCCAGGCAGAAGATGGAAGCAGTAGAGCGAGGACCTGATACTTAGTCCTGACCTCTTCTAACCACGTCAGTCTGACTCCCCTGTTTCTGCACAACCTGAAAAATGGCATGTCTGTGGATTTCTAGGGTAGAGGGGCAGAGCAAAATGATACTGCCATTTACCTGCAAGACTACTAGATTTAATGAAATCTAAAACTTCCAGCAGGTAAAAGGTAAAATTGATTAAATTAAACACAAAATTAACCAAGGTCCAGGGCTGGATCCCTATAATGGCCAACCTCCCCCCTCAAAAAAAATGAAAAAAATAAACAAACACAAAATTAGAGCAAGAGGGTACTTCAATAGTTTGTGGAATAATAGATTAAAAAGATAATACAAATCTTTCCATGAACTTTTTGAAGTACTTTAGTATAACTTTCTAAAGTCTTACTATAATTGGCATTTAAGCAGATATTAAGTGAAATTCTTCTATTTTCAAGATATATTAATCTCCTGTCTTTTAGACAGTTCTAGAAAACTTGGAGCCATCATTTCTAATGGCTGAGCCCTAAACAGCAGCAGCAGCAGCCTTGGAGACTAATTTAGGGCACCACCTCTTTTCTGCTCCTGGCCATGGGGAGTCTGGCAAAAGGATCTGTCAGAATCATCTCAGCCCTGGAGGAACATTTACAAGGATCATAAACTCTTCGCGTCTGTTGCAAACAGAGAATGAGGCGCTGATTCAAGTGCTGTCTAGTCAGTCAGCTCGGGCTGAAAATGCCCTCTGGTGGGGGGAGCCGACAGATGCTGGTCACCTGGAACAGCCCATGTCATGCTGTCCACTTTCACTCTCAGGCACATCCTGATTTAAATTATACGGTCACTTTATTGATGAGGAAATTGTCATCAACAGCTCGATAGGTTTCAGTTCCCCTTAGTCTTTATTTCATGAGCAATGTAGTCCCTCAAAGCAGCTTAACGAGAAAATTCTGAGTGCAACCTCTCTTTACTCCCTCATTATATAAGTACTGCTGGACTTGGGAGGAAGAAGAATCAAGCCTCCTTACCTGGTACCTGTCCATAGTAGAGATCAAGAGGGTGAAGGCAATGGCCGTGGCCGCCATGGCGTGGGTGGAGGGCATTCCAAACTCAGCAATCGCTCTCTTTTCAAGTTTCACAACGGGAGGGGAGGAGGGACGGGGCCACTTCAGGATATCCTTGGCCACCTGACCAATATACATCACCAACTGCAAAATCAAAAGACTGAGGTAAGCCTAACCAAATAAGGAAAATGAATGAATTTTTAAATGTCGTGGATTTATTTTGAGGTTCCCACTTTGTTGGCTGAAGCCTCCTTCCTCTTGGACCAGCTACTTATTGGGAAAGTCTTGTAGGATGATATTTTAGTTGGTAAAAAGAGAATAGGGTTGCTGGATTTTACAAAACCACTGAGCACCTAAGATATGACAGTAATACATAGACTATTTATTTTAGTCATATATTTAACACTTACATAGCTCATATATGTGCCAGGTTCTGTTCTAAGAGTGTTACAGATATTAACTCACTTAATACAATAACACCTGTAGAATGCAGACCTATTTTACAGACAAGTAAACTATTGCACACTCATCCATAGGCACATAGTAAGTGGCAGAACTGGAAGTGACATAGAAAGTCTCGCTTCAGAGTCTGTGCATTAAAGTACTACCTGATGCAACCTCCAAACCTAGGATGATCCTGGGCTGAAAATAATCTAACATTCAAATCAGGCAGCCCTTGTTTTCAAGTTTTAACCACAAAAGTGACTGTTCTTATAGAACATCTAGTTAAAAATTTTTATGCCACTGTTACTCCTGATGTATGTAGGCAACAAACTGAATTTAATTTAACCTCATTCGGTAATTAGGAACATCAGCAAAATTAATGGCATGGGTATTTTCAG